TTATCATTCAACTTTCAAACAATTCTATTGAAAAATATTAACTAATTTATATTAATTAAATAAATATATTAAGTGACATTATTTTCTACCTAGCTATGAATTCTTCAAACTTCATTATCTTACTAGTAATTACCAACCCAATATAGTCCTATACCTAATTAATTAGTTCCCTATTTTTCTCTTTTTTCGATCCAAAACTTTTGATTAATTAAGACGCGGCGACTCTCTCACTTACTTTCTTTCATTTAGTTAGGCGTGGTAAATGATCTCGCTCGAAAGAACCAATTTGAATTTGGATCTTGACATGTCGGTGGTTTTTAACCGTAGGCATTTTGCCAGGAAATTGGTGGGCCTATCATGAATTAGGTCGGGGTGGTTGGTGGTTTCGGAATCCCGTAGAAAATGCTTCTTTTATGCCTCGGATATTAGCCACAGCTCGTATAAAATAATTTTAATCACTCGAATTTGAGATTTCTGCCTAATGACTTTAGAAGTTTCATTTATGATACCGGCCAGTACAATATCAACGTCCTCTTTAAGGTTGATGTTTTTATCGGTATTTACTCAAACTTAATCTCTGATCGTCGATTTCGATTCTCTTTTTTTCAAATAGTATCACGTGACGGTCGTCAAAGATAACTTTGATTGATGAGCTAAATACCTGTTTAAATTAGCTAAACTTAAGTAGCTTTAAGCCAAAATAAGACTGGAGTTACACTTTCATCCAAAAAAAAAAACAGAATCATGTATATTATAAAATATGATAATCCTAGTATTGGTGATGGAAGTATTATGTAAAAAATTACAAAAATTGTAAAAAATAATGTGTGAACCCATAACTTATTATTATTAGTCCATACATTTCTGAAGTTGATTCCAATTTTTTAAATTCATCCTATAAATTAATTAAAGAATATTTATATATTATATTACAAATGGTTGTTAATACAAGACTTGAGTGTCACTTCTCACACGGTTACAAAGAAATTTAAATATACATTGAAGTTGGCTAAAATGGTTTAAGTCAAAATTAAATAAAAATTTATATCCTAACAAGTAACAAATGTATTTTTTTTTAATATTGTGACGTCTTGTAGTACCTGTATTGAAAAGTCCTGTTAATTCGAATTCACGTCATTTAATATATTTGAACGTACCTAAGATTATTGTTGATTAAAGCGTGTATGAATTTCATTTATCCAACCACAATCCAGATCGATTTTATGTTTTTCATTTCTCACACTAACATACTACAATTTTGACCCATAATACTATATTAAACTTTGTGTCCCACATGTTAACCTAAAAAAAAGACCATAGTACATGAAGGGTACCTATGTAAGACTTTGTTTAATATTGTTCGTGTAATCACACCTAAGACCCATACTAAAATAGTCTTCGTTTTAGAATATGAAAATTCAAAATTTAAAGTATTATTTTAATTAAAAGAAAGTGTGCATCTGAATTTATTTAATTTTTTTAATTAAAAAAATGATCCATCCATTTTATGGTGTTTGAATATAGACATAACATAGTGTGATCCCTAGTAATAAAAACTGAAAATTTAAAGTTGAATTATTTATAATTAAATATAAAAACTTTTCGATTTTCTTAAAATAGATTAAAACTCTTTTTTTTTTTTGCAAACATGAAAGCAAACCCTAGCGAAAGTATTGAAAGTTCTCTTTCCTAACGTTGTTTATCTCAATTTGACACGCAATGACGGATGGTCAGTTGAAAATTCTTGTCAAAATTCTATTGTATATGAACATCTTAGCTTACATAATACTTTTTGTACGTATTACGATCAACGCCATAGCGAAACTCATGACTTCGCCACTATTTACGAGCTATTATAATGGAACAGACTTCACCCTAACATAGCGATTTGCGAATTCTCTTGTCATCGATTGAAAAAAGTATTGGAAAATTTCTTGGTCTTTACTTCTTGATGCTCATTTAATTGAATGAAATGTAACTTCTCTATTAAGTTTCTAACTACTCTATCAACTACTAGCCATTAAATTTTCTTGGAGACTTTTAGTCAATATGTGTAAATAAAATAAAATAAAATAAAGTTTTATCGTGAACTTCAACGTTATATGATTAAACTTTATATCCAACAAATTAAAATAAAACAATTATTTAATGAATATATATATTACATCATTATTTTTTTCGTAATCAATTACCAAAGAATGACATATATGTGTTATATGTGGAAAAAAGGAAAGTGAGAATTATTCTAAAAAATTTTAGTCTTTACTCGGTTCATGAGGTGTAGGGTTCAACTAACTATTTATAAACAAATATTAATTTTTCTCATTTTTTCTAAAATAAAATATTTCTAAGATATGAATGTCAATATGTCATCCTTACATTTTCCCACTATACTAAAGTCAGTCATTCAAAATTTCAATATACATGTCCTAGTAGTATATGTTATGTAATATCAAAGTCAGAGCGGAATCAAGATTTTTATTCTCATGAAAAAAAAGTAAATACGTTAATATGTCTTTATGATGCAATATATAGTAGCTAGGAACTTTTTTTTTTATACAATGTAATTTTTCTATCGGTAAAGATTTACATATGTCCCTAAAGTCTTTAGCGACATTGATTCTAAAAGCACAAAAATAATGCCGGAGTAAAGACTTTAACACTCTTTATTAATGTCAACATTTAATGCAGTTAAAAATTATTTTGTTATAGTGACTATACCCTAAAAAAAAGATATTTCATTGTGTTTTTTGCCATTATTTCGTACTTTAAATAAATTTACCAACCACCTCCACAACACATACACTAAAATATCATATATAAGTGGAATTTGACAAGTGTAATATGTACTTAACGTTGCTTTGCTTTATGTAGATAGAAAAATTATTTTTATCATGAACCCCCGACTTAAATAAAATATATCAAAAACAAGTACGATAGCTAGCTCACATAGGTTAACAACGTCTACATAACTTGCTAGGGAATGAGAGTAATTTAGTGAAAATTAAAGGCGAAATACATAAACATCAATTTCGAATTGCATATCAGATTTAGTATTATGAATTTTCGAATATCATAATTTGTATGCTTTACATTTGGTCCTACGTATATTAGACAAGAATAAGTAATCTCTGGATGGAGGGTTTATCAATATATATAAACTTAGTTTAGCTCCTAAAGATTATAAAGACGGATCGATGCACAAAATATCTCGTGTTCACATAAGATTCAGAGAAAGGCCACTTAACCTAATATAAACATTAATCACTGTATCCATAAATCAAATGCGTGTGATCTACAAGTCAGAGACAACTTTATCGTTACTTCAAAATTACTATTTGATGATAAAATATTATTATAATCACGGTTAGATAAGAACAAGAATACTATATTGAATAAAGAGAAGAAGAAATAGAACATAGAACATTTTATTCTTTTTGGGTCCATTAAGGCCCAATTAAAACAATTGGAATTGTGCTTGGTAGAAAGCCCAACAAAACAATAGTTTCTTTCTCAAAGGCTCAAGTCGAAATTGACTAATCCCGAATATCTCATTACAACTCATATTGATTGAACACCTTATAGTTTTGGGGTCATTTACACTTCTCCTCTTATTTTCGTTAGTCGTTAATTTTTGCTCCTCATAACAAATAATGTCTTTGTGGAACTTAAGTTTATATATTCTCTCATCATAATATTTCATAATTTATGATTCGCATAACTTCTTCCCATAAATAATTTATATAATGTTAAGTATAAGTTGTTTTATTGCTAAAAGATAAAAACTAAACACAAAGTCATTCTATGAATCAAAATAATTCACAATTTAAAATATTTAAAAGATATATAAAAAGTTCAGTAGATTCTCAAAATGAATTCTATCAATGCCGCACAAATGGAGATGTAGGAAGTAACATGTATTATTGTAAATGGCATAAAAGTAATATGAATTGCAATAATTAACAACTTAAAATATTTAAAAGACATTAAAAATATATTCGTTATCAAATTCTATCTGTGCCACATTAGGTGGGATAAAATAAATAACATGTACTATTATTTAAAAGTTACATATTATAAGTCACAATAATTAACAAAAAGATATAATTGACTCTCCAAATTATATTTATATCACATAAACTGTGAAAAAAAACAACATATCACAATATAAAATTAACATTACACTTATCTTATATATTTGTTTGTAGGGTTAGCTCATTATGAAATAAATTTAGCGTAGAAATGATAGGGAAGATGGCAACAACATTAGAATCTTCTTAGCCCATATACTCATTCCGTTTTAATTTAAGAGATACTTATCTATATATGTTGATTATAAAAATTAATTTTGATAAAATAATCATGTATGTAGTTGATATATTAATATGGATATATAATATATCGATACAGTGTATAATTTTATGAGGATAAATTATAGATTGATTTTTTTAATCCCAATCGATAAAAATCTTTTCTAAATAGTCTCAATGTTTTGATATGAGCCATTTTGCAATATTTAAATTTTTTTGATATTTTATTCACTCAAAATGATTTATATTTACGATACATTTTTTTAAGTCAAGCTTTAAGCATGGAGGAAGAGGAAGAGGAAGAGGAACGAATAAGGAAAACAACTAAAAAATAAGGAGAAATTGAAGAAAATAAGAAAAAAGCTAAGCCATTATGAGTTAGATACATATAATTGAGATCGAATCAGATATGAATATTATTTTTAAAATTCAAAAAAATAAAATATACTTAATATTTGTGTTGTTTGCCAATATAAATATACTGCTAATGAATAAAATATAAATTTTTGTAAGTAATATTATGATATCTTGAGTTTCAAAGTTTAAAATGTTGAATCGAAGCATGAATCTTGTCATTTTTTACGCTTCTTCAAAAAAATTTAAACGCATAATATACATCTCAAAATAAATACATTAAGAGACGATTTAAATGTCAAGAAGAACAAAATTTATTATATAAGCAAACAGAGAAAGGAAAATAAAATATCATATAGTACTATTAATGAGTTTAAACTTTTAACCTTTTAACGTAAGTAGATACAAAGTTCGTTAAATAAACTAGCCCTTCAATTCAAAAATAAGTTTTCATTTTTTTTCTCGAAGAACTCTTTTGTAGTTGAGACGATCATACTTGACCGTGAATTCTAGTTTATCGCCATTTCATTGAGCTTCTTAAATATTTTAAAAATCATATAAAAAATAAAAAAATTAAATTCGAATCAATAAAATAAAAAAATTTAAATTTCACCGTATTTTATTTTTTATCAATGTGTATTCAAGTATAAAGTTGGCAAACTTTCTTTGTTTTCTTCGTCATCATCGATTCATTTTCTGATGATGACGAAGAAAAACTCTCCGAAGAGGTCGTTGTTAACGATCTCTTCGAACCAACCCGAACTGGTTCGGGTTCGCCCGAATTAACCCTCAACGGAAAATTCAACAATGCACGCGAACCCCTAATTCGATACGCCGCCTTATCATAAGCCAATGCCGCATCCTCCGCCGTCTCGTAGGTTCCCAGCCACACTCTCGCCCCATTCTTCGCCGGATCCCTAATTTCCGCCGCGAATTTTCCCCATGGCCTCTGTCTTACTCCTCTGTAATGCATCGATTTCGACGACGCCGGTGTCCTCTTCACCGCCGCTGTTTTCAATTCCACTTCCAATTTCACCTCCGCCGCCGACTCCGCCGCTGCCGGAGCTGTAAATCCGGTGAAATCGAACATTTCCGGCGAACTCACACTGACTTCCGGCTCAATTTTAACGGACGGCTTTAGCACTGTTGTAACAGGGGAATCCCAATCTTCAAGTAAATGTTGCCTAATCGATTCGAGAAGTTCGAAATCATTCATAAATTCGCTGTTTTCAAATATCATTTTTTTTTAAATTTTTGCGAAATTTGAATATATAAGTTACGAGAGAAACTATATATTTGATTCAAATAATTTTTTATTTTTTTTAATTTTTGGATGAGAATGATGAAGTGGATATATTTGTATATATATATATATATGAAAGTAGATACATGCACGTAGCTAAGAGCTTTAATGAAACAATATAATTAAAATAATTATTTTTGGAAACTTTATGGAGGTTCTATGAAGTTTCTAAAATGGAGGAATGTTGAAAAAAGAAATAAAAAAGTTTGGTAAAATGATAAAGCCTGCAACCACGTGCATTATTTAAGTTAAATGATAAACAATGAACTCATAAAAAAAAAAATTATTAGGAGGATGTATTAGAAATAATTTTTAAGTTTTTATAAAATAGGAGTAAGATCAATTTATATATAATTTTATTTTAATTAATTGAATTTGTAAGGAAATATACATTAAAAGTATTTAAAGATGTAACTTAAATTATTTTGTTCATATAGTTCTTTGTGAAATTTTAAAAGTAATTTAATTTATCTTCTAGAAAATATCAATCATCATTAAAGGAAAAAATTTCATACATTTATGTGACCACATACGAAATGTGAACTGCATTAGGTAAAATTCAAAGCGATAAGCTCGATTGAGAAGAGATTGAGGGGAATCGATTTCATGGTCAACTGTGTGAATGACCATCCTCCAAACTAACTGATTCATCGCGAAGGACATTCATGTTGAACTTTGAATAATGAACTATGAAAATGCCCCAATCATTCAGTATATGTAGGGAGTAACTTGTCTAGCTCTTATTCGTACAATTGTATTACATATATTATTATCGACGGACATTTTATAAGATGATGAGGGCAATTTTATATCAATTCAAATAGTCGAGAAATATTTTAGTCCCTTTTCTATTGTTATCATTATCTTGTTATTTTTCACAAAGTGTTCAATATTTACAATAAAGTACTATTAAATCTAGATTCTTGTATCACAAAAGGCCATTTTTTTTTCATTTTTAAGAGCTCGAACTAAAAATTCTAGTTAAAGTGGTATTATGGAAAAATCCCAACCATAGTATCTGGAGAATGTATATGTGATACTCTTAAGCGTATGGTTCTTTTCTGTGCGTATATCTTTCTATATTTAGTAAGTTTTTTCAACTTTAACATCTTAATCGAAAAGTATTGTATCAAAATATTTTTAATTTAAGATCATACAAAATTAAAAAAAAATCTCTTTATTTTAAAATTTTATACATAATCTAATTAAAACACTTAAATTGCGACATAGAAAACATAACTTTTGTATTTGAGTGATTAGTTATGCGTGCTACGCTCAAGTTATATCGACTTAAATGTTTGTTGGTATAATCATTGAACTCTATGTATCATACCAAATTATCACTAATTATTATTTTAGTTGTTGAGCACATAATTTTCAATTATCATTTTATTTTTCAATGCAATATATTTATGACTAATGAAATCAACGAAAGCATAATTACAAAAATAAGTTAGTTTAATTCTTAATTAGAAGTTTTGATTTCGAATTTTGGCTATGAAGAAAATCTTACTGGAAGCGCCATCACATGATAGGCTTAACCGTGCTCAATTCGAATTTAATCAAAATTTTAATATAAATATCGAACATCAGGTGGAAACCGAATAAAAAGAAAAAAAACATATCAAAGAGAGAATCTCTTGCTTCATTGAGTACATAATTATGATGTTAATCATAAGTCATTAGTAATTGAAAGGGTCAATATTCAATCAGACTCATTGAATCTAGACAATTGTAAACATGCCCAAAAAAAGTTACACTTGCATTTTTACTTTATTTTATTTTATTAAAAATTTGATGAAAATTTTCAAATTAGAATGTAATTTTGTGAATTTTTGAAGAGGATAGTCACATTCAGAATTTAAATTTATTTATTGATATAACGAGCTCAACTTCATAAATTAATATATCACAGATAACTGTTCAATAAAATAGTAATTAAATGTGTAATCGAAGTTTACAACCGTTAAATTTAAAAATAAATTAGAAAATATATAAGAACAAATATAATTTTTTTTTTAAAAGGAGAAGCTAAACTTCTTATTTTTATTTTTGTGTTGTACTAGAGAGATTTGTTCAAAATATTTTATAGAAAAAATATCGTTGAACTGAATTTCCAAGTGGATAATATATTTATTAATTGTAGAATCTTACCCTTAATAGGAAAAAAAATAATATAATACAAGTGGTCAAGTTGGATAAATAAAATAATGTGGCAGCATGTTCTTTGATTAATTCAAGAATTATGTTAATCATAGTACATTGATTTTAAATAAACATTAGAAACCTCTGAATTAAAATAATATTGCATATTTTTAGATTAAGTTTCAAGATACTATGAAATTTTTTGAAATAAAAAAGTTATACATTATATATATTAGCTAATCGTACTCCACATTTGCAGATTAAATTATAAATATCATTTTTCATGAAAAATTATTTATAGATATTGTTTGAACAACCTGATAATTTAAGTCCTCGAAGAAAAATTATGAAAATCTAAATATATTATCAGTAATCAAGTTATTTAAATAATTGATATAACAAAGCAAAATATGTAAATTAAATCTAGAATTTTAGAAATTCTAAGTAGAAAATGGAATTATAAAAAATTGCAATTTAATAATATTATTAAATTATTTGTTAATTCGTTAAGAAAAATTAATTGATTGTTATTATATTGGTAACTCATAATAATAGTCTAAAATCATTACCGAATCGTTAAATCAATAGCCTATTACTACTAATAACAATAATAAATTATAATTAATAGATTCTTTTTTATTATTCGAAGAGTCTTTTAGTTTATTGTATTCAATGAAATTTTGATTATTTTTCTTTTGAGGATATTAATTATTTGATGTGTTAGGTCAAAGACAAGAAGATTCCCCATCAAATTGGATTTCTTTTTTTTTTAAAAAAAAATAATTAAAATATAAGACTTACAATTATTTCTAGAAAAAACCTAGAATCTATTCAAGAATGGTGGGTAGACCCATCTAATCTATTCAATTATTATTCCTTAATCAATTCTTGCCTTAATGGAGTTCTATTTTTATTTTTATTTCATCTCTTCAATATTAGAATTCTTCTAGAAATAAACCTCAATACTATATGTTGATCGTAAATCAAATTAAAAGTATGATAATATATTCAGTATGGTTTTAGAATGATATTTAAGAAAATAAAAGAGTACGTTATAAAAATTAACAAAATATTCTCAAAATGAGATGTATTAGAGTAAAATATTGTATGTGGGGAAATACTTCCAATTTCTACAAAGGATGTCAAAAATAAAAATAGTTCTACGAATAAAAAGTCTAATTAAGATAAAATAGCTCTTACTTTATATATTGTGTTCTTGTTTTCGATGATCTCGTGTGAAAACTATTATCTTTTTTTAAAAATTTTATATTCAATCAATTACTTTATATGTCTAATAATAGTTGTTCATTATTAATTTGACATATTTTTTATGAAACAAAAAATAATATGGATGATATTACTATATTATCTTTTGACTTTATTAAATTTAATGTTTTGAGAAATATGTTAGATGATAAATACTCCTCTCCAATTGT